TTTTTTTTTTTTTTTTTTTTTTTTATTCTCATTGTTCCTCTAAGAATCAAGCAAGAACACTGAAAGTTGCAAATCTGGCAGTCATTTCTGAAACTGCTTGCTGGAATGTGATCCCCTTGCCACAGGGCTTCCCCCCTTGCTTTTTCTCCAGCCCTAGTTTGCTTTTTCCTCTCCTCTTTCTTCTTTAATCCTGCACTTCACCATCATCTCTTCTCTTTCCATGGCTGCAGATAATAATTCTGTCCGTGTACAGATAGCTTACAGCATTATGTACACATAGGAACTTCATTGGCAGTCTTTATTTCGCACCCACATTCTGCAATGCCTATTGGGGTACATCCACTTAGACTCTCAATTCTACGTGTGCCTCCTATGTGGTGAAACAGTCAACATAGGAATGGATCCCCTTCTCTATTAAACACGAAGCTCTGACTTAAACCGTCTGTGCGATTCAAATTACCTTTCTATTTCACTGTCTCTGAAATAAAGCAGTGCCATGAAAAACTCCCAGCTATACAGAATAAAAATAATTCAAATGAGTTCTCCTTAAAGTAGGAGGAAGGAGACTTCCGTGGTCAAATAAATTTGGAAAATTCCAGCTTAAGCAAGAATCTTATTGTAGAAATCGCCAGAGCCCCCGATAGGAGGAAGTGCATTTCCAAACTATAGGTGGACACTACAGTCAGTTGTGTTTCTCAAACTGATCTAACCATCGAATGTTTTCCCCTGTGGAGTGTTTGGCTGTGGTAGTTTTTGGTGAAGCACTTCTTGAGAAATGTCAAAGACGTACAGAACATAGTTCCCTAGGTGGCAGTGGTGCAGAATCAGAGACCTGGTGCATTTTCACATTCAATTAAAACCCCTGCATTTCATTAAAACTGAACTGCAGATTACATTCCCAAAGTCAGGTAAACCTTACAGGGAGAGTAACTTCAAGTGCCTGCCATCATTTCCAGCTGAAAGAGCAGAAGTTGGGGCTGGGGAACTGTCACAGTGATTGCCTTGTCCTCTGTAGAAAGTCTGTACCGCAGACAGCTTTTTCTGGGTTACAGCTTGTGTAAAACTTTCTGCAATTCCTTTTTACAGTTGTCTGACCACCTTCTGATCTCTTTCTTTGTATCCCCTAATCAAGGATGAAGAAAGGCTAGAGATGAGGCAAGAAAAAGCAGGAACCTTTCTAAGGACAAGTCTCTGGTGCGCATAAGTGGCTTTGAGTGGTAGTAGCTCTTTTCCCTGAAAAGGCTCAGGAGCCTTGAAAAGGTCATGTGTTTCCAGAATACAAGGTCAAACCAGGAAAAGAGAAAAGCTAAGAAGATCTTTAAACCTTAATTACCTCCATTGATAATGAATCCAACAAACATGGTATTAGACAGATACTACTTTGTTAGGAATACATATGTATGCCCAATAAATATAAGAAACAAGGAATAATTTGCCAATTTTACCTGGGAGGAGAAATTCCAAGAAAAGCTTTATCTAGAAGCTAGCCCCACCAGATTTTTAAAAGATGAAAAGGTACTTAGAGGAAGGTTGAAAAGCAGAAGTTAGAAGTATGGTGAAGAAGCAATAAGGGCTGTATGAAAACACGGGAGCCACTCTGGATGGAAGGCTTATGTAGCATGTTGGTGAGCTTGGGTTTTTGGTTGTTTTTCTTCTGTTGTTCTTTTGTTTTTGCAGAGAGGAAACTGATTGTATTTGTCCGTGTCTCCTTTTGCAAGGCTATTGAAAGCAAAGATAGGGCATGAGTATGCAGGACTTGGCCCTTGGACTTGGAGAACTCCGGAATGGTCACCTCAGTCTCCTAATGGCCAGCTGCTTGGGCTGTTGAATCCTTCAGGGCCAGGTTAGGCAACAGCACAGAAGACTAGAGCTACAGAGCTTCTGGTCCAGCCCTGCTGAAGGGAAGACAGTGCCTGTCATCATCAGCCTCTGCCTGGCTCATCTGAAAAGCACCTAACCCTGTACGTGTCACATGCAGGACAAGGCTGGAGTCCAGACAGCTGAATTCCCAAGCCCTGCTGGAATGCAGCTGAGGACCAGAAGGGACCACCCCTGGACTTGTGACCCCACTGGGAGGTTGTGACATCACCGGTGTTGGCCAGCCCCCACTGTGGGCTGCTGTGGTGGGGAGCCAACACCAGCCGGGAGGGAGCTGGGGTTGTAAAGTGGACCAGGCGGGGCATCCCTGAAGAGATGGACCTAAGTCACCTTAGGTCCCATTAGGGGCATTGTTCTTGTTGCAGGGCTACTTATAGAGAATTTCAAGCATCAAATGATCAACAGTGTCAAAGGCCAGGAAGAGCGCGCATGATTTTAGGTCTTAAAAAGTCATTTGATTCAGTAATTGATTCATGAAGAATTAAATGGCGTCACTGGCTACACAGGCCAGCGGTTTGGAAGCTTGACCACAAGACATGAGAATATGATTGGAAGTGAGAGCTGAGAAGACCTTAAAACCAGGGTAGTCGATGGAAAAAGTACATTCGTGAGAAGAAGACTGAAGTAAGCAGATTTACCGACCGCAAGTCTAATAAATGACAGAAAAAAATTATTTTTACTGGTGCATAAATGATGCACCATTATGTAGCACGTGTTACTGATACAATGTTATTTAATTTCCCTATAAAACAAAGTATGTGACTGATCTTGAAAGGCTTTTAAAATCCTTTTGTGTCCTTTACATCCAGAATGAACTGAACAGTCAGCCAAAATTATTAGATTACAATGGTACTGGTGCAGATAACTTGACCAATGGGCCAAGTTTAAGTTTGCTGTGTTCGTCAGAAATGAGCACTCTTAATTGCTTGGACTAATTGTTATGTATCCATTCATCTAAATTTGCAATATAGTCCAATGTCTCATGGAGAAAAGCAAAAGAAGCTAAGATGGAGAAGTTATCTTCTCTCTAGAACATAATGTCCATCTGTCATTTCCCCACCTCTTTCAGCTCGGACCCTAGGGAAAGAAACCACAGCTAGGGACTAAGGCGTCTACAGTGTGCCTACTTTGTTTAGCCGGCCTGTGGTTGCTGCTAGTTTCTAAGGACTTCCCAGGAATGTAAGACCTACTTTGATCTACTCTGTTATTATCATTTTCTGTAAAACTAAAAAGCAATCAAAAGCCCATGAATTAAAACTTCCCACCAGCAACATTTCAGTCACTGATTTTCTTTACTAGTGTTTTTACATTTACACTCAAAATACATCTGCATGTGGGAATGTCCATCTGTGTAGTCAAACACAGTAATGATCATAACCAATGAGTACTTAACAAACAATGGGAGGACCTTGAGAATTTTAAGTTATCCTGCTGCTGTTATACCCAGAAAATGCTTATTGTGATTATAAGGATATTATTAAAATATGTCCCAAATTTCCAAAACTGTGTGTGACTCAAAGACTTGTCGGTAGAGAAACCTTAAAGAGTTTGGTAGAATTATACTGGAATCTAAGCTCTTCTTCTCTAAGCAAGTCACACAACTTCTGAGATTCTATTTCTTCTGCTAAGCAACCTGCCTTTTAGAAATGAGAGAGCTGCTGGGCGTGGTGGTGCACGCCTGTCCTCCCAGCACTCGGGAGGCTGAGGCAGGAGGATCACTGAGAGTTCGAGACCAGCCTGGGCTACACAGTGAGTTCCAGAGCAGTCAGAACTACATAGTGAGACCCTGTCTCAAAAAACCAAAAAAAAAAAAGTAAGAAAGAAATGAGAGTACTGGATAAAACAGTGTCAACTCTGGTCAATAATTGTCAATAAACAAGTTATCTTCTCTATCACATGTTTGGTTTTCTTTCTTTAACAACTCTCAAGATTTTGTGCTTTGGGATTCGTATCTATGCAAAGAGGAAATACAAACCAGTAACGATGAGGCTCAAGCGTTCTCAAATATCATTTTTCAGTTGTTGACTTCTTTTGCTAACATTTTAGATATCACTCAACAGAAGTAAATGGCACTTTATTATAAAAGATCAACTCAGTTTTGAATTTCAAAATGAATAGTGCGGCTACAGACTTTTTCATAGGGATTTCAAATGAATTTCAAGAAAACTGAAAAAAAGGGACGGTCAGACTGACATGGAATTGTACAGAATATGCTCTGTAGTTAAAAGGGAACGAACTGCTGGTAAGAAGTCAGTGATTTCACTTACGGCATCATCCAGTAAGTTTCCTGTGCTCTTTTTTCCAGAAGACTTTGATGAAGGAGAAGGAGAAGGAGAAGGAGCAGAAAATGTTTCTTCTTGTTCAATTTCTTTTTCCAATTTTATCAAGCCAGGAGGCTCCACACCATACCTTGTAAGAAATGTCAGATCATTACCCACACATAAGTTACCCTGAGACAGTTACCACACATTGCATTTGATTAGGAGCTGTATTATAGTAAATAGTTGCCTTTCAAAGTAACCTTAACTGCAGTCAGGGATTTAGCTCAATGGCACAAGGTCCTGAGTTCAATCCCTGGTACTGCAAAATATAAATAAATAAACATTTTTCTTTAAGTAACATTAACTATTTCTGGCACTGGAACAGTTCTCACTTAGAACTCTTGAAGCAGCAGAAAAACTGTACATCTACTTTGTAGTACACATGCTTGTATGTGAGCACACACACGCTAACATGCTAAAATAAGTTAAAATATTCAATGCAATATGTGAATGAGTCAACAACATGAATAATTATGGGAGATTTATCTTTAGCTTTCACATTGACCAGCTGTAACAATATTACTGCTGCAATTAAACTCCATTTTGAACATGAGTTTGTTAAATATGGAGGTAAAGGTGATGACTCATAACAGGTTAGGTATAGAAACAGCCTAGATGCCTGTGAACAGATAAATGGAAGAAGAAAATGCAGTACACGTATATACAATGGAGTACTACTCAGCTCTAAAGAAGAATGAAATCATGTCATTTGCAGAAAAATGGGTGCAACTGGAGATCATGTTAAATAAAACTAGCTAGACTCAGAAGGAGTAAGGACAGAAAACCAGCAGGTAGACTTCTGGAGACAGGGAAAGGGGTAAACAAGAGGGGGAAAGAAACAAAAGGCGGAGCAATGGTATTGAAATGGACTAAGATACATGCATTTGCAACTTCCTATAATAAACCCTAGAGTCATGGAACATTAACATGCAGTAATAAAATATATGCTAAAAAGTATTCAGATAAAAAAAGATGGAGATAAAATCTGAAAATCAGAATCAAGCTTGAAAAAAGCAACACCTCAAAATAAAAATTTTGAATGACTTAACAAGATCAATTCATGGTTTTTGTTGTTGTTTGTTTGTGGTACTGGGACTTGAACTCAGGGCCTCACGCTTGCTGGGCAGGTGCTATGCCACTGAGCTACATTCCCAGCCCAAGGATAAATTCACTGTTAATAGCATATCACCAACAAGCCCAGAACAAAGCCCGATGGTCATACGGTATCACTGATTAAACTTTTAGAAACAACGTAATGAAAGTACACGTATCGCTACTGGGGAGGCAAATGAACAGATAGGAAACAGATATAATTTAAAATAATATAAAAATGAGATTTCTTAATTATAAGTGGCATAGGAGTAAAAAAAGAGAGTTGTATACTTGCTGTCAGGTTCACGTCATTCCTAATCATATTTTTCTTAAGCCACTCTTACAATTAGGTTTAGTTTCCTAGACACATGTCAGCCATACTGAGGTAGAGGAGAGCGAAGATAATTCTAGAACCTGAAAATGGTGAATGCTTTTGCAGGCCATCTAGTTACACTCCTTCACTGTAACCGACAAGAGCAGAAGGTATAAAAACAGCTAGGAGCAGAATAAGGAGTCAAATCCAGGTGTTTTTTTTTTACTTCAGGGCTTGTGTCAGTTTTCCTTAACATTTTCATTGGGTGATTTTTTTGTTACAAAGGAGAGAAAATAGTCACCTGGAGATTAAAAGTATGTTACAGACATCAAAGCAAATAATCTATAAGCAAAGAATGATATGTTGACAATGTATGTGTGCCTCTGATAGAATGCTGTGTTGTCACTGTCAAATGTAAAATTTTAAATGCTTGTTCTACTCTTATGATTTGCTATTTTAATTGCCATTGTTGCATATATAGTTAGTGTAAATTTCAAAGAGGAAGTAATTTCTCCACTAGATGGTTTTTTCTTACAAACGGTGCTCAATTCATTTGACTCCTATGTTCCTGGCTTCATCATTCACTCTTCCACTGTGAAGTGGAAGGATTTGAATAAACTGAGCATGCCTGACTCAGCTTACCTTTCTTTTCTAGGGAGGAAGCTGTCCCCCAGAAGCCCTGCGTGGAGTCCCCCACCCGATTTGCCTGTGCTTGTGATTAGGGAGTTACTGGCCTAATTCTAGAGTTCCACCGCAGACACTAACACGTCTGTCTACTTGTACCTTTACAGCTATGAAAGTGGTATCTGGTAGCTCATCTGGTATTCTTTTACTTTATTTTCTATATTTTTTTTTCAGAATTCACATAAATGCCCTATGAGAGCAGGGAAATTTATGTTAGAATGCAGTACACAACAGCTCAAGACGGCACAGTTCAGCTGAAAAACCATCTCTGGGGACAACCTCAAGTCCTTGGAGTATTTTTTACTCTGTGAGGAGCAATCATTAGCTGTAAAGACTTAGCTACCACTTGTCATGTTTATAACCTTTTGCACATATTAACAAACTAGACTGAAAATTGCACGATGGTGGAGACCAGTGTCTGCCTGTGGCACCTGGCCTCAGTCCGATGCCAGTACCTCACAGCTCCCACACAGATGTGCCAAATTTTCTTTATTCCTAAGGATCAGTGATGTCAGGTTTTAAATGTGAACCCAATGCCACAGCTGTGGATTCCTAAATGCACATTTCACTTTAATAAAACATGTCATCTTTAAATGTACAAAAATAGTCTGCCAAGACAAAAAATAAATAAACTGTTCTCCTAAAAGACTGTAGGCCTTATCTGAAACTGTAACACATTTTAAAAAATATTTGAGTAATCATTAGTTATGCTAAACTGCACTTACCATCTCATTACCATGGCTATCTCACATGGAGATGCTGTATTCTTATTCTTGTTTGACATAGATCTGAACTAATTATATCACCAAGCTATTTCTTAAATTGAGCAAATCAGTTAAGCTCTAAGGTCTATTTTCTTTCAGGAAATAATAAGTAACAATGGTCTTCCCCGAGGACTCTTAGAACAGTGGAGGAAGAAAGGAGGCAGAAGGTTGGAAAACAGCAGCTGTTGAAATCTTCTGTGTCTCTGGTACTACTGGGCATTCTGACATACATTATTTATAAGCTTTAGTTTTATTTCAATTTAAAAGGAGAGTTCAAATTCCTATGTTTCACTATCATTAGAAGAAATTCAAAGAGTATATATTACATGCGCCACATAGCATCTAAGATACAGAACTTCTGAGACTGATGTTTATAAATTGATTTGTTTAATAAAGTTTGTACAGCTGCAAACCCAATGGCAGGCCTAAGTTTTGGGTAGAAAATCTTCAGTGTCTTTAAAATACCCACCATCAAGTGACAATGTGGCTAACAGCCTTGAAAGTAAGGTGCCACTGAAGTGAAAGGCAATGCTGTCACTTCTGCTGTGGCCTTTGAAAAAGACTTCGCTTTCTTTAAAGACTTTCCAAAATTGTGGGATATCAGAAATACTTCAGTATTTGGAGCTGCTCAGACCAAGCTATAACTCATTCTTGCACTGGCTCTAGCTAGGTGAACCTTGACAAGCAACTTTTCCAATCTCTTTAGACTTCTGTGGGTTCTTAGTTCAACAAAGGTATAAAAGGTGGTTGTGTTTAATATTCTTAAGAGAGTATTATAAATTTGGTAGTGAGGCTGGAGCAACTTAATGTGCAATTCACAGCCAACGCAAGTCAGTCACAGGGGAAAATATTCTATTTGAAAGTATAAATTAGTCCAAGAGGAAAATATGATTTCATTTGTAATTCTTGGTGGACACAAGCAACTTTTTAAGAATATATTGCATGAGTCTTGCCTTTTTTTAATAAAGTGAAATAATACACACACTATTAGAGTAACAACAGAACTCAGCTCGTTGTCCAATACAAACAAAGTAGACTTGGCTTGAATAAAATCGGTACCAAAGTCACACGTGGAAAATCTTATCCCTGGAGGGCAGGGGATTTAGCTCAGTGGTTTCACTGCCTGCCTCACAAGTACAAGGACCTGAGTTCAATCCCCGGTACTGGAAAAAAAAAACAAAAATCTTATCTACAGGGATTTTTCTTTATCTGGAAATGCTGAAAATTAGCTATGCCACTAAACAGAGAAAATCAACCCTAATCTCCAAATCTCTGCTTAAATTGGCTTTTGAATACTTCAAGCTGCCTCAGGTACTGTCTGCCCATCCCAAAATGCCCACTTAAATACCACACATTGGCTTTCTGTCAGTCTGGAGTTGTCAACAGGCTACGAGTCGTGAAATTCCGCTGGGACTGAGGACATGCACGAGCAGGACAACTTAGCCATCACATCGGTCCCATGTCCATTCTCCAAAAGGCTACTGCATTTCCCTCTCCTTGATTAACTTCACCGCTTTGCATTTCTATATGTTCTATATGGTCTCTCTCTCTGTCTCTCTGTCTCTGTCTCTCTCTCTGTCTCTCTGTCTCTCTCTCTCTGTCTGTCTCTCTCTCTCTCTCTCTCTCTCTATATATATATATATATATATATATATATGGTCTATAATTTATCTTGTTGTCCATTCTTTTCCAACTACAAGTCCTGAGAGCTTTAGAAGGGAGTAGTTGTTGTTCTCAAGCTAAGTACAGGTCGAACTAATGATCACAAGAAGGTTAAATCTATGAAAACCAAATCCTCATTCTTGTAGAGCTCAATGGTATAAAAATGAAGGCAAATATCCTGGGCAAATATTTATTTTTGTGTCATTTTAAAAAAGCAAAGTGCTATCAAAAGGGTCTCTTGATTAGTGACTTTCTGATGAGATTCAAGAAATGGATTTCTCACTCTTTGGACACAGTTTTGGAGATTGCTCTATACAAAATAACTAAGCCCCCAAACCAGGGACTAGACAATTTACTCCGCATACTCAGTAGACTTCAGTAGACTGGTTTTGAAACAAGAGTCATCTGGAACCTATTTTATCAGTGTTCAAAGAGCAAATTTTATGGACAAATGAATGTTATAGACAACTTCTTTTTAAGCATGTACAAGTTTAAAGATTCTTGCAAGATCCATTTTGCCCAGTTTATCATCTAATTTGAAGCAATTTAAGCACAGGTTGATATTTAGAAAAAATTTCATCAAGTGAGGTATTTGAAATTCATAGAAGTTCGTTCAAGTGTTTTAAATAAGATCGATAATCAATTAATAATCTTGATATAAGACACATCTTTCTTTCAGTAACACTTCTGTTCCTCATACCAGGATTGAAATAGAAGATTAAAGGAAATGCTCACATAGGATTTCATGACTGAAGCGGTACCCCAAAACCAGAAGAAGTTTGGTTGTGAATTTGATCCTTGATTATGGCACCAAACTATCAGAAAGTTTTATTTTTATTATCAAAATAGTCTTAAATCTGCAGCCAGTCTGTAAGGTTATTTCTAGTAACTTTTCTGTTTCTGTTGATTAATGTCAAAGTGCTGTCATTAAAATTTGAAGCTTTATTTAGTTGCTTTTCCTGAGTACCCTACTTTTCACAAGACCAGTGCATATTTACATATTCAGACACTGACAACTTTCTGAAATTTAGCAGAGATTTCACTCTCCGGTAATGATAGCTCTATTTCATTGAAAATAACAGTTTTACCCATGGGAATAAAAATAAGTGAACTCTCAGCCTCCTGTCTCACAATTCAGAAATCCCAGGGCCTCGGAGAAGTTTTACTGCATCCCAGGCAGATGCAAGGGGCAGAGAATCAAAAGCATCCTGGACCCAGTTCTGAAGCGATGGGGATGTGTTTAGGTGGTATGTATGAAGTGTGGAGAACTAAATATTGGAAGCCAAGCACAAGAAAGCATCTTTTAGCACTCATGAAAAATGCAACACTCACGAAATTTCATTGGGGATATTTTTAAACATCCAAACTCATCTGTGCTATATGCAAATTAATTTTGCAAATCTTGAGAGCTGTTCCAAAGTCCCTTCTAGTTTTCACTAAAGGAGTTTTCATTTATGAATGTGTGTAATCCTTAAATGCTCACTCCATCTAACCGGTATTCACTTGTTGGCCTCGTGTTGTGTGCAGTGACAAAAGTAACACCTTGAGTAAGATCACAATTTATTTCTTTTCTGATAAAATAACCTGTAATACTATGCCCCTCTAGAGTTGCATGAGGAAGATAAAATGCAGACATTACAAAATAAATACATAATGTAAAGGTTTTCTCGGCCTTTACTTAACTCTACCATGATGTCAGTATTTCTTTATGATATGAAATTTTTGATGGTCACAAATGTGGTCAGACTCAGAGTAGCCCAGAACAATCACACTTTTTAAATATTTTGTGATTAGAGAAATTCTGCATATGATATTTCACATCACAATTGATGGGCCCATAATGATTCCTTTTTATTTATTTTAATTTGTTTTACATCTTATGGCAAAGGACAATTAATGCCAGACTCAGAGTTGGAAGAAATATGACTTAAGGCATAGCCTGTCTTCTCCTTCTATTTAGCCATAATTAGAAGTTTTCCTTCCTAATCAGAGTGCTTGGGCAATAAACAGTACAATTACAAAGTAAAATTATATCTAGAAAATAGGCAAATAGTTATAAACGAGATGATGAGTGGAAAATGATAAATACCAAAGTAGATCTAGAGAGAGCAACTCCCCCTGTTGACCTTGAAACTTAAACATTTTGCTTTTCTGATGCAACACAATCTGGTATTTCAGCATAATTCATGGATAATTACAGCCAACGGTACTAAGAGGAATTTTCTTTCCTGTGAGCACCTGGGACCTGTGATTTGCCTTTCTGTCTTCCCTTCCTTTGAGTGGAGTTAACTTTTTCTTTCTTAGGGGAGAGCCCCTGGGTCCCCAATTCTGCTTTGACCCTCTGTTTGCCTAGAGGCCCAAATCCCCAAGAAGTGGGGTAGTGGGCGCAGCAAGGTCCTAGAAGCAGCAGAACTTTGTGAACTCGAGATGGGGCCGCCCTGAGAATGGAACCATAGGAAGCGTTCCGGCCCCCAAACTGGAATTATGCCTTGTCAGCCGGCGAGGTCTCCGGCCTGGGCCTGGAGACCATCACACAATTATGAATATGTGGCAAGGTAGGGAGATCCCCAGATATTACACAGCCGTTTTACTTTACACCGTGTTGAATAAGAGTAATATTTAATCTGAATTTTAAAAAAATGAAAGCAGTGTTTCTCGGCCCAATCACTGTGATGAAATGGAATTTATACGTAATATACAGTTCACTAAAATTACATCAATTATGGTGATTTAAAGAATTTGGGGTTACTTTTCAATACAGGTTACAGTTTTTTATTGGATCATGAGAAGAAAAATGGTCTGTTCACTGGCAGTTAGTTTTCTAACATGCAGGAATTTCCTGATGTGCATACATTCTAATTTTCCCTTGATTTTCCACATAAATACTCTATTTGAATGTGCATTACCAGTGCTTTCTCTTACTGTATTTTATTGGTTCATCTGATCTCAACCCTCAGAGGGTAGCCTGATCTGGGTCAGAAAACACCTAGTTAATTCTGAATTTTTATTCTGGATCAAGATCTCTTCAAACATTTATAACTTTATTTCTTATTTTTTGGTTTTAATAGAACTACCAGTAGCCCTGTCTGTTGGTCGGAGAAATATAAATGGGAAAACATGAAACCAAAACGAGTTTGCTTACATAATGAGGTCTCTTCCTCTACTTATTCATCTATAATTACTTTTGCTTTTCTTCTCCTCAAAGACAATGTTTTCATGTACTATAACTTGATGTACACTTTCTCTAAGAAAAAGAATAATTTTAAAACTCTTCGTTTAGAAGTAGAAACTAAAAGATCTAACGGATGAGATGTTTCACGCAGGGATTGAGAAAAGTTAGGAAAGAATAAACAGCAAGCAGGGTGTGAAGGAAGAAAGCAGAGAGAGCAAGAACAGACTTAAAGAGAGTTAGCTGTCACATAAAACCATACTGCAATACCCTCCTTCATGCCCCTTACAAGACAGGTTTAACGGAAACATAATCGAGCCAAGTATATCTACATCATTGAGCAAAGGACATGTACACATACTTAGACAAAGGGCTTTGACCAGAAGATCACGATGTCAAAACCATTTGGAGCAAACTTTTAGTTTAAACAGTTGCCTTCATATTGTTCATAGCAATCTTATTTAAATAGGTAGCTCCTCAACATCCAGATTAAACACGGATCCGTGGAAGCCGTCCTGATTCCTGGTTGCTCGGACACGGAGATGGGGGGGGGGTCCTGACGTAGCAGCAGCTGTGACCTACCTGGCTGCAATCCTGCCAAGTTCCAGCAAACAGAGACACACTTCTCTCGGTTGCTTGTGGAGGACTGGAAGACAAAACAGGTAGACGCCTTTACAACACAAGGGATTGTGAGGTAGCTCGACCGATCCCCCTTCAGCCCCATCCCTCACAACTCCAATAAATGAGCTGATATTAATACAAGACCTACCCTACTCCCCTGTACTCTGAGCTGTACTAAAGGAATTATGTGGATATCAGAACCTGGTCTACTGTCCTTCCCAAAAGCTACCAGTCTTTGAAACTCTCACTGTAAACAGCTCTCATCCTTAGAATACTTTTCTTTAAGTAGCTCAAGTCAATACTGGTTACATATGGAGCTATAATCATGATAGAAATCATCACTTTTTACACACACAGCACATGCAAGACAGTGGAACAGACTGGACTTCTTAAGATCCTGGGTCTACTCTTCACTGCTGATTTTAGCAGAAATAATGCAATGAATGAGTCGACCCACAAACAAAGATGGATGTCAGCTGAGACCTGATGTGAAGTCCTCTCCTAATCAAATGTGAGTGAAGGATACCTCAGACGGTTTCAGCTGGCTGGATTGTGTCAATATTTGCCCATGTGCCATCAGGCACCCTTACCCATCAAATGGGTAGTAACTCAGAAGACTGCTTTGAATTTATATTTTTATTCCCAAATCACTTGATTATCTGTTATGACAGCTCCGGATACCCTGACAAATGTTCACAAACCACACCTGCATTTGCTAATCCTACAAGAAGAGCTCACACTGCTCCTACACTACCTTCTTTTGTAACCAAATCTATTTTTTAAATGTTAGTATATCCATCATCAAGAAAAAAAATATGTTGGAAAAGTTCTGCATTAAGAACAACCTATAGAATGTTTTACAGTTGCCATTATAATACGCTTTTCTTATTGATAAACTTTAAAAAGAGCAACATTGTTTTCATTCTTAAACATAGAATTGTATAATGATCCAATTTTCTAGTATTAGTCTTTTAACCTAAATATTCTAATTCCTTCTCTCAGATATGGTAGCAGCCTGATGTGGTCCACTGACATCACAATGGGATTTGTTCAGGATATGTAGAAATAGAAAAGAAGAATTTTCCTTGTCTTTAAGTGACATGCAACTTAATTCTTTTATTATACAGTGTCACTTTTGATTCTTTTTAATTGCCGTGTAATGCCCTCAACAACGTTCATTTAAAAATACCATATGGCTTCTCTTATATGAAACCCCAATTATAAATAAAGAGCAAAATACATCATAGAAGATAGGAGGTAGGGTGATGCATCTCTCTCAAACGGGAGGGGAATCACGAGATGGAAGAAGAGAAGAGAGGGGAGGGCATGGAGACAGGAGCAGGAGTGAAGAGGGGTTCTTTATCTTACCACCCCCACCCAAGGAATGAGACATTGTGTACCGCAGACACGGACTAAGAAAGATGGTACCTGTCTGCACTGCTTTTCTAAAATAGATTGTGGAATATTTCTGTCCCTGATAATACAAATTGGCTTCACATAAAGACACTGACTTCTTTCAGTTCAAATGTGCCAGGTGGCTGTGGCGAGAAAGACACTTTACAAGATTTGATATATTCAATCAACTGCAGTCCAAGGTACCCCAGAGTCCATGCTACCACACGATCACCAATTTCAGACCAAGAATAGTAACAAACATTAGAAAATAGAACTGAACAGATGAGAATCGATATTCTTCTCTAGGTTATCGATTGATTTGGATTCAGGCTTTTAAAAAACCATGTCCATGGCACAAAATAACAAAGAGTTCTTAGTGGGAGGAAAGACTGCATAAAAGCTGAGGAGAAAAAGACTTTTAATGCTCTATTAATAGACTATCCTAAGTAAAAGCTGTGTGAAGCAGGTGGCTAAAACTTTGGGAGCTTTAGAAAATTTTATGCATTTTATGAGAACAGTGTCAAAATAAGAAAATTATTAGTGAGATTATCAAATGGTGTCAGTGCAGTCAATTACCAACTATAGAAGTAATACCTGGCACAATTATAATGATTTTTAACCACATTGTATATTCTGAGGACTATAAGAGCATTAATATAAAATAGGTATATTTCATAGAAAAATCATATTTTTTTCTGAAGAAAAACAATAATGTGGGTAAAATAGGAAAGACAATTTGATATAGAGGATTCTGTTTCCTCATTTGTCAAATTAAAACGTTTTGCATGCCCAAACCCCAATGTTGACTCTACACGGAAGCATTAGAAAGTCAGTTTGGGAAACTGAGAGCTACGTGACTCTTCGTTTTATTGTCTAACAGAAGAACCAGCCTACAGAATATAACACAAATAAATTCCCCAGCATCTTTTCTCAGGAAAATGCTGACACAAAGAGTTTTACTTTCAAGTTCTCTTGGAAATATGTGTTTTTAATAAAGCAATAACGTGGTTTCAAAATATAATACTGCCTTCCTTGTTAATGGCTTTTAAATATTGGACAGACCATGCCCGGCTCCACATTGCCAAAACCTCTATGGCTGATGAGTAGTAAACAGTGGATAAGATCATCTGCAGAGGCGCAGAATGTAACACAGTGCTAGAGCCTTGGTGGCTCTCCTAACTCATATCACGGATGATGACAGTAAACAGTGGTGGCAGCGGTTATGACAATATCAGGACTGAAGGAGACTAAAATGATACTTCTTTAGACATGGTGATAAGTTGTCATGTAAATGCTTGTTGAATGGCAAAACAACCTCTCAGAATACTGCTATGAAATTAAATTCAAAAATCTTTAAGTAAGTACTACAGGTAGGGATATTACACCTAAAAACTGACTTTGACTTGTGCACTGAAGTAAGTTCTAAACTGAACTGAACGGATGGAAAGAGTACAGTGGTTGTAGGATTCCAATCACGAAGACCCCAGTGTGAGTGTAAGCTCTCATATTTCCTCTTTGGGAAGTTATCCCATAAAAATCTCACTTTTCCAAGGAAAAACAATCCTGCCTAGTTTACAATATGTTTGTGATGATCAAAGAAAATAATAACCATATAGAAGTAGAAGAAGGATTCATACTATCTTTCCCCTGAAAAAATTCTCTTCAAAACAAATGAACAGCTCTCAAGTCAATAGTGATTATGATGCAATAGGTTTTTATCATTGCATGCTTCTATTAAAATATAATCAAAACCAAATCAAAGAAAAGTATAATGCAGAAGACCTCTGGGAAAAGTAACACAGACCCCCTGATTCAAAAATATGTGGTGAGAGACTCAATCTCATAACCTAGATTCTATAAAAATCTCAGGGGCATCAAATGTCAAATGGAACACTGCTGGCACTAGCAAGAGAAAACAATGGCTTCCGCTAAAGCAAAGGGCAGAATTTCAGGGTCACAGCATCTGCAAGGATTAAAATGCACCGGGCCATGAATGTATAGTTTAACTATGTTAAGTGTAAACAGATGGGAAAGAAATGAAAGCATGAAATATTTTTATCCATTTGTTTTCTATGTAACCAGAGGCTGCAACATTTATGGTAATTTTGAAGGAAACGCTTTTAGCTTTTTTACTTTGGAAGGAATGTGAGAAACTATTGTTGCCTAAATGATGTTGAATGAAAACATCATTAATTAATGATCGCATATCTTCTCAGGGTAAAGAACATGCTCGGATGAATCTGGGAGAGTGGTGGAGTAGAAATAGTTTGAATTGGAACTCAGAGGAGTTAGATTCTGCTCAAGGTTGCCTCATTTAATGATTTGCTCTGTGATTTTTAAGTATAGGGGACAATTAGGCAAAGCAATTTAGGTGCCACAAAACTCATCTGAAGAGGTTTCATCCTCTGAATTAAAAAAAGAGAAGAAACACATTTGAAGCTAAACAAAAGGAAAAAGTAAACATGGAAGAATAATACAAATTCATTAACACTGAGTGTCTAAACTCTCCAGAATCAATAGAATCATGCAAAATAGAGCCTGACATCCCTGTAAATCATATAAAGATGGCATGACCATTCCTAATCTCAGCAATAATGGTAGCTCTGTAGAATAGTTTGCTGTTAACTGCTCTTTCCTCAAATTTGAGAAATGTCCTAGGACAAAGGTTTCTCTTTCAGCAGCCCTCAGCGCCCCTATTAAATTAACAGATTAATTCAGTATCACACAGAACTGTAGTCAAGAGTCAGGTGTTTTCTAAGTTGATTTTTGTTTCTTTTTTATTTCTTTTACTTGAAATCCTATAAGCGTTTAAAATTAACGCAACGTGACCATTTTCATAACACAGGAGTGTGACTTGGGAGGTGAGTAGAGCGGTACTCGGATTGTAGTTGGGCTGTCTAAAATCATAGTCGCATTGAGCAAGTGATTTAATTCTCCAAGTCTCAGCTTCGCATTATTAAAATGGCAGCTACCGGCAGCATAAGATGGTGACCATGGCACACTCTTCTAGCCACTCTGCTCAGCTTGGAACTCAGCCCTGCAGCCGTGGGCAGTGAAAATGGAATCCTGCAACATCCAGAAAGCCGCCCACTTTCCTCACTCAGCCCTGGCACTGTCGAGTCCTTGGTGAAGCTCTCAGTCCACGAAGACGCTTGGCTTCTCTCAAGCAATTTCATATTTGTCCTGGCCAAGGGCGAATGGCTAGATGGGAGAAGAGTTTCTTGAGTTCAAAAATAAAATGTGAATGAAATGCTAATAAAACAAGTACTTCTCTAAACAAAAGGGTGTTTCAAAAAGCCCTCAAAGAAAAATGAGTCTGGAGATAAAAAGAAATGAATATAAATAACCAAGAGCTGAAATGGTGTCTCAGAGTTGTTATCATACATTGACACTAATAATATAGCTTTTTTTTTTTCCCAATAGAAATACTCTTATAGTCCTCAATATAGACAAAAACAAGAACAAGGACAAAAAGCAGGAAACACCAAAGGCAGGCATAGATTCATTTTCTGAGGCAAACTGACTTTAAATTTTAAAGTGGAAAGTATCAATTTTTAAAAATTAATGCGCAGTCCGCTTTAATTTTGTGCAACAGCATAAATCCAAGAGTGCAAATAGATGAACGCTTGC